TTAATACTTTTAGATCCAGCCAATCACGTTAAGAAATCATTGAGCGCTCACTCAACAGTTGTGTCTGCTGAACGCGGCCAATGATTCTCGGTTCTGTCTACAATGGTCGTAGTCGTAAGAATAATCGACTGCGATCGTATTCAGTCAGACGCATAAGAATTGACCAATCGCAGTCGATTATTCTTACGACTACGACCATTGTAGACAGAACCGAGAATCATTAGGCTTGTTTTCTGTTCCTACACTAGTGAACTAGTGCAATAAATTGGAGTAAAGCCCGCTGCAGACGATGCTATTTTTTCTGCTGGATTGCTTGCGATTTAGTAAATTACTAGGAATCCTGAATGCTGAGTGGTGCAACGATAGTAATTTACTAAATCGCAAGCAATCCAGCAGGAAAAATAGCATCGTCTGCAGCGGGCTTTAGACAAGCATATTTTTTCTCATTCTAGCTTACTGCACTAGTTCACCAGTGCAGGAACAGAAAACAAACCCATTGTAGCGGAGGCTTTAGGCTGGGTCTACATAGGATGTAGTAAGTCGTGTCGGAAGAAATTGACCAATCACAGTTCATTATTCTTCGATCGTAAGGAGAACAATGAACTGTGATTGGTCAATTTCTTCCGACACGACTTACGACATCCAATGTAGACCCAGCCTTAAGGCCATTCTACAATTGCGTAAACGTAGTTGTAGGGTTGTAGGAGTAGGGCCCGGTTTCACCAACGCGAGTTAATCTAATCGGTCGGTTAACTTAATAGGGTGCCAACATAAAACTTCTTTATTAACCTATTTTCTTGGTCAATAAAGAAGTTTTATGTTGGCACCCTGTCAAGTTAACCGACCGATTAGATTAACTCGCGTTGGTGAAACCGGGCCTAGAAGTAGTAGTAAGTGTTGTACATCAAAGTAATATACAATAGAGTGAGATACGTCGTAATTGAAATGAATGATTAGTTAGCTTTTACGTCCTATATCGTTGTAGTCGTGGAAGATCAAGTTCAGCCATCTTTTACAACAGGCTTTACAATCGGAAATGCTAGTTTAAAACTGTGTTTTACAACACTGTACAACCGCTAACAACCACGTTTACGCAATTGTAGAATAGCCTTTATACGTCAAACAAAGATAGAAGACGCGCTTTCCGAACGCACTTTTCGTATCTACTTGAAGTCGATCGCGTATCACATCGCAAACGAGCGACTTGAGCGCTTTTCGCAGTTTACTTCAGGGAATGCCGTGTTTACGTTTCGGCTTGTGTGTTTATGACGAGCGATTCACGCGTTGTTGAAAGTAAGGGGCAGTTTAAAATGTTTGCATACGTACAGTCTTTGAGTTCTTAGGAACGAGAATCCACGAGGACGCAAGGTCTTACAGAAACAACGTGATTACGCTTGATGTAATTAGATAATTACGTTTACAAAAGCTGACAGTTTCTTTAAGGGTACCGGTGTCCTCAGCTATGCTATGAATGTTGTTTAAATAATGCAGTGCCGCAAAAGCTCACTGCGATTTATCACATTTGAAATAAGTTTCTGAACAAGTATTGTTTGTACCAACAGCAATACGGTTGGGTTTTAATTTTACTCATCCCGATATTCTTTGCAGCTCGCGAAGGATTTTGTATTCCAGGAGGACTGTAAACAGAAATATATTCGAGAAGCAAGATTCAGTCTCATGAGTGATAACAAGCAAGGATTTATCGCAGTACATGTTGGTTTGTAATTATCTATGCACAACTTATGCGTTGTCTACGTTGCACAGGGTAAGCCTGGCGTAAGGGATAAGAGAACCACAAGCTTCAGCTTTTATGTAAGGAAGTCAAAATGCAGGCATAATTTGTCTTCCAATTCTTAGCTCTGATTCGCCGAGAGTCAGCGTAAGAGCTGACATAGAAGTAAGAAATAAAATTGATTTATTTCCTTACTCCTTACTCCAGGCTTACTCCACGCATTGTAGACGACGCGTTACAATTAATATTGGTGTCTAAACTGTTCTAACATCTTGTCATTTTATTTTCTGTCGTAGGTGCTGGGCAGCACTCGGCGTCGCTCAAGGAAAAGTATCAAAAGTTATGTCGCGAAGCGTGCAAAGTGGTAAGATTTTCAAATTGATTTAATCTCTCAGCCGCGATACATATCTGATTTTCCGTAAATTCCATACTGGCTACATGTTTCCCCAGGGAACTCAAAGTTTGAGATCAAATGGCAATGCACTGGACGCGGTGGTGGAAGCAGTGGTTGTACTGGAAGATTCTCCTATGACAAACGCCGGATTCGGATCAAATCTCACGTTGAACGGAACGGTGGAATGTGACGCGAGTGTAATGGATGGTAACAGTTTGCAGTACGGTGCAGTCGGTGCGGTTAGCGGGATAAAAAATCCTGTTTTGTTGGCGAAACGTTTGTGCGAACAGCAGTCCATTAAGTTCGCATACGGCAGAATTCCACCTAGGTACCTCGTGAACAGTTTCGAGACGTTAGCGATTGCATTATGAACATCGTTATTGATTTTCGTTCTCCGACAGCTTCTTGGTCGGAAATGGGGCGCACATTTGGGCGAACGAGATGGGCATACAAATTTTACCACCTGAACAATTGATATCAGGTATATAGAATTTGTAGGTTTTAACGAACCAAATTGCGATTTCTATGTATAAACTGTAGTATGTATCTTATTTATTTGTCCAATGTGTTTCTCCAGTGAGATCCCAAAAGATATACAAGCATTATAAAAGAAAAGTAGAAGGCTGCAGTGCGGAGGCTCAAAAGGTACAAAGAAGTCACTTTACATTTGATTACAATTTGTAATCTAATTATTATGCTGTAGTGTGCTAAGAAACGGATGGATACAGTGGGTGCAATATGCGTTGACGACAGTGGAAATATTGCTGCGGCCTGCTCAAGCGGTGGTATAATCTTGAAATATCCTGGAAGAGTTGGGCAGGTACAATTCAACTTATCGTATCAACGTTCAGACGGTTGAGAAATGTTTTACACTTAAGTTTCGTTTACCAAATTTTCTCCTTCTAATTCCAGGCTGGAGTTTGGGGCTGCGGTACCTGGGCTTGCAAAGACACCTCGTATTCGGTAGGCACTAGTACTTCAGGTTGTGGAGAACATCTTGTGCGCACCTCGTTAGCGCGTACAGTTGCAGAAGCTATCTCTGACACGACTTGCCCGACCACGAGTTTGCATCGAGCGATGAACGCAGATTTCATCGGTGTGTCGCAGATTTAGTACAATGGGGAATTAATGAAAGTAGTGACAACTAGGTGTTCTCTCCTCAGATTCCAAATTTCTCCGCGGACTTGAACAGAAGCTCGGCGGCGTCATCGCCGTACGGTACTCGCAGCAAGAAGGTTCGGGCGACTTTCTCTGGAGCCATTCCACAAATTCTATGATAATAGGTTACATGAATACATGTGAACGTGCACCAATGGTACATATTCCATTTTTCTTTCCCTTTCAACATTCGTACAGTTTCTATACACATGTTCATAAATGTAAAAATATATCTAAATATTTAGAATTATTAATATAAAAATATGTAGGTCATATTTGTTATAAAAGTTTTTATTTCTAGAGCTACATGTCGGCCTTATCATCGCATGAAGTAGGTAAGAAAGCTATTGTCGAAGGTGTTTGTTTTAAGCTGACGGGACTTGATAAAGTTTAAAATTACATACGTGTTCTCAAATATAATAAGTTTTTCTAAGGAATCGCTATTTATAATGTAAAATACTCTATACAAAATTTTTATACAGATCCATGTTAATTTCATGAAATATATAGATGCTACCAAGTTAAATAATTTTCCATGATCACAATTTTCTATAGCAAGTATATTTTCCTAAATTTTATATTAAATATTTATATAAATATTTAATATTTATATTAAAAATTTTATATTACTATTATACATAGACTTGACTATATATTTCATTGCAAATCGTATAAATACAATGATAATTATTAACATATGTAAATACAATATATCCTGATAACAATTTAATCTTTAGTTTATACTTCATATCAAATATTTCACCTACTACTTTATATGTATAATACAGATAAAATACATGTGTATATAAAATGCCATTGCATCCAATAAAGCCTAGATGGAACTAAGGGGAGACATCGAGGTCACGTTTTAAAAGAATCTTGCAGCTAATTATTCGGGTGTGCAATCAATCTTAACAAAATCCATAATTTGTTTCGAGAAGAAACGAATATATACAGGGTGAGAAAACGGTATGGAGACCCCTAACTTTTTCGAAAACTATACATTTTAGAAACAAATGTTTGAGACGAAAGTTATACGGTCAAATTAATGACACCATCTTATGTTTCTAAAATGCAGTTTTTGAAAAATTTAGGGGTTTCCATACTTTTTCCTCACCCTGTATATTTGACTCTATTAAGAAAAAAAATTTACAATTAAAATGCATAAGTATTTATGAAGTGATATAAATGTATCAAGAAATTCAAATATAGAGAGAATCTATGTTATATGGCCAAGGGATGTAAGTAAAGACATCGAACTCCTTTAGCCAAAAAGACTTAAAAAAATTTACAATTCATCGTTATTTAAAGTCAAATAATAGAAAATAAATAACTCACAAGTTTAATAAACTCTATCGTAAACATTTTGATATAATATTTCAAGAAAAAAATACTAGATCTAGTTTAGCTTTAAATAAAAATCTGCCTATTATAACTAGACACTTTATATACATCTCGCTTGATATTCTCGATAAATGGCCTCTTTCTTCCTTTTTAACGGCTTTTCGATCATCAGGATCGAAGTACTATGATTTATATTAAACTGACTTTCACGATCATTTTAACAGAAGCTATATGCAAATTATAAACTGCCTATGTCGTTGAATCGTTTCAATTTCTCCGGGAATACATCTTTGAAGAGCACCGGATCTGCACGAAACTCAACCGACTCCAACGGCATAGTGCTATAAATAGAAGAAAATTTGTTTATACACTGCGTACGTTCCACCATGTGTGTCAAATCCGCAGACAACATTTCGGTATTTGTACATTCGGGGCATCGGAACTTCTTCTTTGGTGTCACCTGTAAAATTTTAGACAGTTTTCAAATAACGCCAGTACATTGGCCGAAGATCTTGTCTACCTTTAACGGAGCTTTTCCAGTAATATTTGCTACCAGAAAATTCATTGCGATGTCCTCGCAATTCATGTGCTCGTCGACCCATTCCTTTATGTCACCAGGCATGGCCGTAGTATACATGTAATTCCAATACTGAAAGGCATTAAGACAAACGTAAAGTCCCATGTGATAATCGCACAATTCAATACTCGGTACGAGAAATGGAATGATTTACTTTGTTGGATTTACTTATACAATCTTGAGGTGAGGATAACAGGAGAGGATGTTGGTTTTTTGCAAAAAATAAAATCCAAGGATTTTTATTGTGTTCGTGGTCTGAAACGTTAAATAAAAATGTTGAGTATAATGTAACAGAGCTTGTAACTTCGTGAACAAAGAATAACGCAGGCTCTCGCAGGTTCAACAGTGCAAGTTTACCTTATGATGAAAAGCTGCCCCTGTTAAAACCATGGAAATACTGTTCGTCCACTCGCTTTCGTACTTCCAACAGTTAGTACCATTATCCCACATGTGTAGGCGCGATGGGAACCCAACAATTCTATCCGGAAATTCCCTCCACACCTAAAAATTTACCAAATATATTTTTATTCTCAATTTGCGCCAAAGAGGATGATATGAATATACCGTAATTTTTCAGACTACGTAAATGTTACGAAACAAAATTAGCGATACCTCATAAGCGAACTCTACTTCATCAGCAGTCAACATAATAATGTCGTCATCTATTGACAGTACTGCTTCAGTTTCAATCTCGTCATACGGATAAAAGCGGTTGGACAGTTTATTCTCCTTCGTTTGTATTACTTTTAATGGCTTATTCACTTTCGGCCACCTGGTAGCTACAATGTCGTGACGTTAAATTACCAAGTGTAAAATGTACGCGTACGTGCGTACCCAAAACTTGGGTGATAATCAATATGTATGCGTTAAAAGCTCTTACAATGCGGTGGATCTTTATGCTGATTATTCCAAATTACCAGAACTTTGGACAGACTCGGCACCTTGACGAGTTTATTAATTAATAGGAACAGTAGCTCCAGTCTGTCGTACGTTAATATCACGGCGGTGAAGCCACGTGTCTTAGGCGCAGTCACCGGCAGAAAGAGCGGCGAGAGCTTTCCCTGCATAAAAGCATTCGTTTAATACAGAAAAGCTTCTTTGTTTTAACTTCCCAATTTCGGTAATTACCCACCTTGTACGATGGTACGTTCCAGTACGAGTAATCTCGTGTTAAGTATGGAAACACGCGGTCCGCGAGTATTTCTAACGTAATTTCGGTAATCCTCTCCATCGAACTGAAATAACGATCGTAAAGCCACGCGTTCTGCTCCTGCATCTCCACGATGCGCTGATGAGATATCTTTTTCAACAGTTGTACCGTTAATAAAACATCGACTTCGCGTATAAAAACAGCAGCCCTGTCGACAAGAGAGAGAATTGCAAGTCAAATGAGACGTTGCATTAAAATATAGGGCAGCAGATATTAATTCGGGAGTGCATCCTACTTGGTCCAGTCGATCACGTCGTGAAATGGCATTATTAGAGAGTCGGCTACGATCACAGGTATACAACCGGCAGCCATCGCGTCCAGGAGTGCGCTTTGGGCCAGCCTAGCACCACGGATTATCAGACAAAACGTTGCTGTCTGAAAATACGAGACACTTTCAGGTATATACTTTAATAAGGGGAAGATATTTTGGATGTTGAAGATTGATCGCGATCGTATTACTTGCAAGCTATCAGGATACGTGTATATATCCTCTCCTACGCAACGTATCGTATTGTTCATTGGATTAAAATGTAGACACGGGCCCAGCACCAAGATGTCCTTCGGATACGTCGTTTTTATTTCTATTAGATCCTGCTCGAAAGCAGTATTGATGTTGATCTGCGACGACATCACCAGCCACACTCTAAAATGCAAAGTAATTACTACCGCGCGTACGCGCAACGAGAAACGGCAGTACGGAGGCGTTACCTTATATTACTGTGGTTCGTTTTCAGATTGTTGACAAGCGGACTGTAGATCGGTAGACTGACGTCGAAGCTGGGCCTGTAGGTCAGCGATGACATTCCGGCGCCTGCGACCATCGCTCTTCCCACTGGCACGTCGAGAACCGTGTTGTAGTCCGGCGCGCTTCCAGGCACCATGTTGAAGATGAGATGATTCTCTCCTTTGTTCCAGAAAGGCAACGACCTAAGGGCCTGAGAGACCTCTTGCAGCCTCAACCTGTTCTGATTGAGAGTGTCGATGGAGGGGACGAAGATACAAGCTTCGTACGGATTGGGAGTGTAAAACTTGCTGTTGACGATAGCACTGAGAATCTGATAGTACTCCTTCGTCATCTGGCAGGTCACCGGCCTGTTGGTGGAATCCAAGTACATCTTGGGTGGATAGACGTACACCAGGAGCTTGTTTCCCTGGCTGCCACATCGGTACACGTTGAAGCAGGAGAAGTACGTGCAAGAGGAATTGGTCGCATCCGCCGCGCCCGAGTCGGCAGGCAACGCTTGAACGGGCAGGGCATCTATGTCGTTCAACGTTACAGGAATATGTTCGGAATGCTTCTGCGTACTACCGAATTTAAAAATATGGTACACCGAGGTGAGTACGATGAACAATGTAAATAATAGCAAACATATCGCAAAGATATTATGATAATGGTACGATACTCTGTTGGCTTTGTGTGCTATACGCGCTGGTAGTACCATCTCTCTCTCTCTCTCTCCTTTCTTTACGAGACGTTGCAAGATATATTGGTCTCTATGCGAGCCTCATTTGAATATATAAATTTTCTCTGTGACAATGTCAAACATTTGTACAGGGTACATTCGTACACTTTACGTACGAGAGATGTCACGGATAAGTATTTATCTCGGTATGATTAAAATTCTCATTGTTAAGATCACGCTTCCCCTCATTTTTAATTCACAAAATTGCCGGTGCACTATCAGTGCTAGGAGAAACTAAGAATTCTTGCAACGCAAATACGTGTATAAACTTGTCATGATTCCTCAGGTTTCAAGTCATGTGTGAGGTTATGTCTGTAAAGTTAATCGGGTTTGCTCGTTTTAGTTGCGTCCTCTGCACTCAACGTAAAGCCCGTATCAGACTACGGATTGAGATTGGGATTAGATTGAAATTTGACCAATCGCAGTAAAGTTTACTAATCTCAAGTTCAGTAAAGCCCGTATCAGACTACGGATTGGAATTGGGATTAGATTGAAATTTGACCAATCAGAGTAAAAGTTACTGAACTTGAGTAAACTTTACTGTAATTGGTTAAATTTCAATCTAATCCCAATCCCAATCCGTAGTCTGATACGGGCTTAAATTTTACTCTGATTTGTCAAATTTCGATCTAATCCCAATCTCAATCCGTAGTCTGATACGGGCTTTACTCTGATTGGTCAAATTTCAATCTAATCTCAATCTCAATCCGTAGTCTGATACGGACTTAAGCCCGTATCAGACTATGGATTGGGAATGGGATTAGATTGAAATTTAACCAATCACAGTAAAGTTTATTAATCTCAAGTGCAGTAACTTTTACTCTGATTGGTCAAATTTCCATCTAATCCCCAATCTCAATCCGTAGTCTGATACGGGCTTAAAGCCTCCGCTACAATGATTCTCGGTTCTGTCTACAATGCCTGTGTCCAGCAGAAGTTTGCGCTTGCTAAGCGCTTTGCGTTCATTGGATTATACTTTCAGATCTGTGCTGAAATAGAGCTATTCTTCTAGATCTATCCAATCAGCATAAGTCCCAGTCTACAATAGATGATTTAAGCCCTAAGCTTTAAGAAATTGGCCAATCACGGTCAAGTATGAGTAGAATGCGCGACTGTCATTAGTCAATTTCTTAAGGCTTAAGCCTCCGCTACAATGATTCTCGGTTCTGTCTACAATGGTCGTAGTCGTAAGAATAATCGACTGCGATTGGTCAATTCTTAGTCCCAGTCTACAATAGAGATTTAAGCCCTAAGCCTTAAGAAATTGACTAATCACAGTCGCGCATTCTACTCATACTTGACCGTGATTGGCCAATTTCTTAAAGCTTAGGGCTTAAATCATCTATTGTAGACTGGGACTTATCGAGCGACTACGACTACGACCATTGTAGACAGAACCGAGAATCATTGTAGCGGAGGCTTTAGGGCTTAAATCTCTATTGTAGAC